CCCCCCCCCCAGGGGCACCCAGGCACTCACGCTCATCTTCCTCGCCGCAGCGACAGTCCTTGCCCCGGTGTGCCGCGTGCAGGCTGTTGCAGAAGGAGGCCTCACTCGGACTGTCACAGTCACAGAAGGACTCCCCGGTCACGGGCACAGCGCTGGGGATGGGTGGCGGCAGGGCTGAGGACTCGGGGTCCGAGTCAGAGTCACTGTGCTGGGAGGGAAAGACTGGTTGCCCAGGTGTGGGGCACCGCCGCCCACCGTCCCTAGGCCCACGCGTCAGCGGCTCTAATGGCCCAGGAAGGGACGCGGGGATTTGGCCCCGGAGGGCTTCCCGGGTCTCCCACACACGCACTGCCCACCCTTGCCAGTGCCACCCACGGTGACCTTGGACAGCTCCAGCCTCCTGGCAGTGGCTTCAAGGGCTCCACCCCGTTCCCGCACAGCCAGGGGCTCTGGGCTTCCAGCTGATGTTGAGCCACCGGCCTGCTCCACCGCTCCTTGTTCTCTAAGCGGCCTCCAGGCTGAGGATACGCCGCAGCCCCACCCGAGGGCAGCCGGAAGCAAGGGAGCCCCAGGGCGAGGGCCGTGCCCCCGGGCAACAGCCGGACTCCAGCAGGTGCCCCTCGCCGTGGCAGTGCCCGCGCGCCCTAGCCACGTGATGGGGCACCCTGGAGCCCCGTGGCCCCATGCCACTTCTACAGTAGGAGAACACTGAATGGAGGCTTGGTCTTCTGCCTGAGGGGCCCAGTCATCAGGGCACGTGTTCCAAGTCTTGAAGGCCTAATGGTGACCCAGAGCCAGATCCTTCTTGCAGGCCAGTTAGGGGCGCTTTCTGTGCACAGGAGCTGTTCCTGTTCTAAAGACACAGGCCTTTCTGGACACCTGCCTTAGCTGTGGACTCCAGGCCGACCAGCAAGGGGCTGGGGTCCTGGTCCGGCCCCACCCTCCAACTCCCTCTCCCGGCCTCTGGGCCCTCCTCTCGCTCCCTGAAATGCCCTCCGCACAGCAGGCCGGCAGCCCCTGCTCAGACCCGGGCTGGGCCTGCCACACCTCAGCAAGCCACTGCTCTGAGCGGAGGCCCACAGCCTCCATCGGAGCCCACCAGGCAGCCTCCCAACCCCCCACAGGCCTGTCCGCTTTCTCCCACAGGGTGAGGGTGGTCCGCCTTTAGACCGCAGGTTCCGCATGTCACTTCGGAGAGGCTCTTCCGGCCCCTCCGTCCCCTGCTGTGCTCCCCGTCCCGCACATCTCTCTCCTCCCTTCTCCCACCAGAGTGGAAGCCCCTCGAGAGAACCCAGTCCCTGTTTCTTTTCTGTCACACTTGGGGCCACGGGGCTGTCACCCAGAAGCCGTGTGGTGGAGACCAGGCAAAGAGAATGGAAGTTTCAGCTACAGACCGATGCCAAAGGGAAACAGGAAGGAGACCCCAAGCACCCCACTAGCACGGAATGCTGATCCCCAAAAGCCAAGGCAGACTGGCTCTACTGGCCAGGGGCGGACTCTAGCCCCCTTCCCACTCGGTCAGCAGCCAGGGTCACAGACGAGAGCAGAACAAGGGAGAGGCGTGTTCGTCCTTCAGAGGTTCTCAGGGTGACCGGCCCACCCGCACAATCCAGTACTCCAGGTCCAGCAAGTGACAGATGAGCAGCAAATGTGTGTCAGATGCTGTGACCCGGCCCCTGAACACCTCCCGCATCTCCCAGTGATGAGCTGGTAAAGGCAGGGACTGGCAGAACAGACTGCTCTGGGTCACGTGGTCCAGGGGAGCCAGAGGCAGGACAGGAACGCAGGCCTCTGGCCTCTTGCTGGCTGGGGCAGGGAGGCCCTAGGAAGGGGCTGCCGCCCCAACTCAGAACTGCAGCCTCCAGGTCTGGAGGTTCCGTGGGGTTCGGCCACACTCACTCTAGAAGAGATGCAACCCCTTCCTCCCAGAACACCTGGCTGCGCAGGGGCAAAAGGGTGGGTGGCTGTGACATGGCAGACGTGAGTCGCCCAAGGATCATCCCTGCAGGAAGCCAGAGGGGACTCGGGGCAAAACCAAACCCCTGCCTAGGTCAAGGAGACTCAGGAAGCCCTCCGCAGTGCCCACCCAGCCAACAGGCACAACGGCCAAGCAGCCCTGCCGCCCCATCCCGGCCCGGCTGTGGCTGGCGCGGTGAGACTCGGGTGCGTCAGGCACCCTGCACCCCAGTCAAGCCACTCTGTGGACGGCTCCTGGCTCCTGGCCTTCCTGGAGCTCTGGAGTTGCCAACGGAGGAAAGGTGCTGCAACTTTGGCCTCCAAGAATCAGAAGTCTTCCTACACACACGTGTGCATATGCATAAACGTCAAATGCACATCTGTCCAGGCAAGAGCACGCGCGTTAGGGTAACGATAGCTACCTTTGGAAAACGGTCAGGTGAGTGGAACAGAGAAGCTTTTGTTGAACAAACTGACAGAAAATAGAAAGCACAGAGAAGGATACAGCATCTGCCCTGGGTCCTGTCACCCCGGGACCGGTGGGTCCTCAACCGAGATAAACTGCCTGGGTGAGCACAGAGCACCCGAGAGGCAGGAGGGCCCGTCCTCTGCCCTCGGGCGCATCTTCATCTTTCAGTCTGGGCTCAGGCAGTGCCCGTCCTGGGCGTCTCAACCCTTCGGTCCAGCCATGTCCACCTCCCCCGCTAGGACCTACCTGCCCATCTGAGTCGTAGCCCCAGTTAGCGCTCCCCGCCAGAGCCACGGCCCGGGCATCCGCATCTCGGCGAGCTGCACTCAGGACAAAATGCCAAGCTGTGCTGCTGCGAGGACGCCTGGCCATGGTGGACAGGATCTGGAAGAAAACCCAGGTTCTGAGCCAAGAAGATCTGTGGCACCAACTCCCACGCTCCGTCCTCAGCCAGTGGTGCCAGGCCCATCTCAAGGTGGCCACTCTTAGGAGCCACGTGTGTGCCCAGCCAGGGCTCTGGAACTCTTCCTGACCTCACACCTCCCTCCAGCGTGCAAGCACCTTGATAAAAGACAGACAGACAGCATAGAACACCATCCAGACACCCATGACTCCCGAGTGTGGATTTCAGCCCCTCTCCGAGCTCAGCCTACTGAGCCCAGCTGTCCTGCCTGCGTGTCCCTCAGGCATCTCAAACCTTGTCTGGCTCCTCCTCTGTTGCCCAGTTTGACAAATGGCATCTCCAACCGCCCAGTTCCTCATGCCAGACCCACCGCAGTCATCCTGAACACCCCTTTCCTTCCTTGGGCGGTAGCCTAACAGCGTCACAGCACCTCCAAGGCGTGGCCTGAACACCTCTCCATCCCTGCGGTCGCCCGACTTCCCAACCACAGCTCACCTTCCTTCTGGCTCCTCCCACTCCACTCATTACAACCAAGGTTGTGTTCGGAAACACAAATCCTAAAAATTAAACAACCCTTAAAAAGCCCTGAAACCCCTCCAGCCTTGCATCATTAACAGAGAACGCAAATTTCTGCAACACCTTCAAGTTCGCCTGTGCTTCCCCAAGCCGCAAGGGCCCCGTTGCAGTTGCTAGCCCTGCCCTGCCCTTTGCCCGGAATACCCTCCCCTCCCGTGCTGGGCTCGCAGGTTCCTTGCCGGCTTCTGTAACCGTCCCGGCGGTCCCCTGCACCGAGAGCTTCCGGAGCCCAGGCGTCCCCGCCCGTTCGGCGCAGGTGGCGGCCCCGCCGCAGCGGACAGCAGGCGACGCGCTCCCGACCCGGTCCTCGCGGGTGTCCGCTGCCGCGCGGTGGCGGAAATTACGACGGGGACGCTTGGCACCGCCGCCCGCACGAACAAAGGCGCACCGGGGCCTCCCGCCGCCAGCGGAACCGCCAGGCCAGCGGGTGCCGCCGGCCGCCGCTCACCTGTCGCCGCCGCCGCGTTCCGCCGGGCGGCCGTGACCTACTTTCAGCTCCCGAACGAGACGTAAACAATCCCCGCCCCGCAGCCCGCCCCCCGCGCCGCATTGGCCCTGCTGCCGCGGCCGGGTGTTGGCGGGCGCTGGCGGCCCGGAGCAGGGGGCGGGCCGCGCGGCACATGTTTCCTGCCGACAGGATGCTGGGCCTGTCAATCCTGACTCGACACCCCTATTGGTCACATCTCAAGCCGTCGGGGAGAGGGCCCGTGCGCCCGTTCGGCATAGGGCGAGAAAGGGCCCAACACGGAAGTGAGTCCATCTCCGGTTCGTCGGACGCACCGCAACGTGCGTGCACCTTACGTGGGACGTGATTGGCTGAGTGCCGCGCGAGTGGCCCTATCAGGACGGCCAGGGGGCGGGCGCTGCGCGCTGGAAGCGGAAAGCGGCCGCGGGGCGCGGCGGGATGGAGGCGGCGGCCGGTGAGCGCCGGGGTCCTCGGGAGTGGGAGGGTCCGGCGCGCAGCTGCGGGGCGCGGCCCTGGGTTTTCAGCCCGCGGGCAGGCAGGTGACGGGCGCGGGGTCGCCGTACTGCACCCCGTGCGTCCGATTCGGGGGCCTGCTGGTGCCGGAAGGTCGGAGGCTCAGGTTGTAACCGACGTACTGGTAGAGTTCTGGGTTAAGCGGGGGTCCTAACGCGAACCCGGACGTCTCTTCTGGTTCTGCGCGAAGTACTAGGGTAACTTTCTAAAGGTCCCCGCTGAGGAAGAGAAGTGGGGCGGGGCGGGGGGTGCAGAGGAGACTTTCCGTAGCGGCGCTTTGCCGCGCGCGGCTCGAAGTCGTGCTCGGTCCGGTCCGAGTCCTCGGGGCAGACCTGGGGCAGGCACTGTGTGCTTTTGTGACAGAGACCCGCCAGAAGCCGGGCCAGTTGTCCCTCTCGGTTTTTCTTGTGGAGGCTTTGCAGGTGGGGGCCTTTGAACCTACCCATGGAGCGTTGAGCAGGGGGGTGGTATCAGTACCGTTGTTTGTGGAGCCCGCCTGAGGACCCGGGCTCGCAGCGACGGTGGTGGGGAAAGTCGCTTGTCGGACACCGGGCAGGAGTCTGGATGGCGAGGACCAGAGGGCGCTGAGGTAACAAGAGAGTGTCGCACAGGGGTTGCGTGGATGCGGATGGCAGCCCCTGGGGGTGGCAGGGGTGGGAATGGTGAATACTCAGTGACATTTCAGGCTCCCTGAAAGGAGAGGGAGGCTGAGGCAGAGTGGCCAACGGCCAGCAGGGATCCATGGTTGTTGGACCCGGGCCCTCATGGGGAATAGCCAAGGATGCAGGTGCAAACTGTGGCCACCCTAATGCACGTGGGGTTTAAGGACCGGTCTGAGTCAGAGAGCCGGTTCTGGTCCCCCGGAGCCAGAAGCGTCCTTCCCGAGAAGAGGACGCTGGGCACCCACAGGTCCGTCCTAGGAGCGGGGGTGGGGGCCGCCCCAGCACAGACGCACCTGCCGTCTGTCACGATGAGCCGATCCCCCATCGTCTTCCACGTTTGCCTGTTTTCCCCTGGAGTCAGCTGGGAGCCAGCAGCCCCGCGGCTCATCGACCACGTGCAGGCCGCGTGTGAGCGAGCTCACAGGTGTGCAGCGTAAGGGGCGGCTCGAGGCCGGTCAGTCCCGCCCCAGCGGCCTGGCTGCAGGCAGGGGCTGTGGTGGCAGCATTCAGAAAACCCGAGGGTCAAATCTGGGGCTGGGCGACTGGAAGACCTTCCGCCTGGGGTGTTTGCTGATGTCAGGGTGAGGGGGCAGGTCTCAGAATCTGGGGCGTGGGAGGTGCTTGGCGACCCCTCGGTGAGTGAGCCTTGAAGGGCGCCTGGCACTGAGGTCCTCTGCCCTCCTCCCTTCCGGCTAGAGGCTGGAAACCTGGCAGGCGTCCAGCACATCATCCTCGTGCTCTCAGGAAAGGGGGGCGTCGGGAAAAGCACCATCTCCACGGAGCTGGCCTTGGCCCTGCGCCATGCAGGCAAGAAGGTGAGCACCCCCCAACCCGGCCACGGCGCGGGCGTCCCTTCTGCCCCTGCCTCGGGAGCCCCCTGCGCAGTGTGGACGTCCCGCTTCCTTGCAGGTGGGGATCCTCGACGTGGACCTGTGTGGTCCCAGCATCCCCCGCATGCTTCGGGCACAGGGCAGGGCCGTGCACCAGTGTGACGGCGGCTGGGTGCCCGTCTATGTGGACCAGGAGCAGAGCATCTGCCTCATGTCCGTGGGCTTTCTGCTGGAGAACCCCGACGAGGCCGTGGTGTGGAGGGGGCCCAAGAAGAATGGTAATGGCCGGTGGTAATGGCGGGCGGAGGGGGGCGGCCAGCCTTCCTACTCGCCTCAGCTGTTCCCAATAGAAAGCGCAGGAACCGCGGGCCCTCCCCACGTTGTTGGGTAAAGCAGAGACTCCCACGGCAGGCTCCCTGTTTCCACGACGGTCCTGCTGCCCACCTGAGCCATCAGGCCGGTGCAGGGGATGAGGGCAGGAGGCCCCGGTGAGGCTGGGCTCTGGGGTTTCTGCCCCAGCAGGCTGAGCGCGGGGGCTACTTCGGGGCGTGCCTGTGCGGGCCGTCGCTGCAGGCCGCCTCACCTCCAGCTGCCAAGGCTTGAGGTGCACCCGGGTCCGGGCACCGACACCCTCAGGAGCGTCACGGGTCCCGGCTAAGGCCTGAGCAGGAGTGTTGGGGGCACGGGAAGGAGCCTCCCTGCCGTGCGGTGCACTTCCGTCTCCCAGAGGAACGGCTTGCTGTGCTGTCCTCGGGCGGCCCCTCTGCTGGAGGCTGGCTGCTGGCGAGGGACTTGGAGAGGCCCCCGTGAGACCCTGGCCTCACCTGCCCCCGGGCCTCCCTGGGTCGCTACAGCGCTGATAAAGCAGTTCGTGTCGGACGTGGCCTGGGGGCAGCTGGACTACCTGGTTGTAGACACGCCACCGGGGACGTCTGATGAGCACATGGCCACCGTGGACGCCCTGCGTCCCTACGGTCCCCTGGGGGCCCTCGTGGTCACCACACCCCAGGTACCCCGTGAGCTCCTTCGGTCTCCTGGAGGTCTGGGACCCTACACCCAGGGCTAGGCAGAGTCACCCGCTGGCCACGGTCCTCTCTTCCTCGGTCTCAGGCGGTGTCCGTGGGGGACGTGAGGCGGGAGCTGACCTTCTGTAGGAAAACAGGGCTGCGGGTGCTCGGGGTGGTGGAGAACATGAGCGGTTTCGTCTGCCCACACTGCGCGGTGAGTCGTGGGGACTTGGCGGGGGTCAGCAGCCCTTGAGGGGGTTGGGCCGGCTGGGACAGCCCGGGACCTGCCCCTCGGCGTGGGGGAGCCGACGGAGGGAGCAGCACGTGTCTGTTGTAGGAGTGCACCAGCATCTTCTCCCGGGGAGGCGGGGAGGAGCTGGCCAGTCACGCCGGAGTCCCCTTCCTGGGTGAGTGTGTTGCGGCCCCCGTTGGCCCTTGGGCTGGCTCTGGGAGCCCCTCTGCGGGGCCCTCCCCGCCGCCCTCACGGCCCCTCCCCTGCCGTCTCCCTTCACAGGCTCTGTGCCCCTGGACCCAGAGCTCACTAAGAGCCTAGAGGAGGGTCGAGACTTCATCCGGGAATTTCCTGAGAGCCCAGCCTTCCCTGCGCTCCTGTCTATAGCCCAGAAAGTTCTGACCGAGGCGCCTGCTCGCGTCCCCTGATCGAACCCTCCCCCCCCCCCCCGCCGGCCCAGCCGCGCCCCCCCTCCACGGGCCTCCTGGCCAAGTATATGCAGACCCAAGCAGAAGGGTGTGGGGCCAGCATTCCCTCCCTCAGCCCTGCCCCTGGAGCCAGTCCGGTGCTGCCGTAGCATCTGGACAGCAGAGCGGCTGACAGTGAGTGGTTCCCCCAAGTTGGCCCGTGGCAGGGCCCAGGGGGATGTGTGGGGTCCCGGTGGCCTGAGCTCTCCCTGGCTGGCACGTTCCCACTTGGTCTCACGGTGCTCAAACGGCAGCCGTCTCCCCCTGGGCCCCAAAGCCCACGTGCCTGGAAAATCGTTGGGGCCTTTGCTGTCCTCGGGACTCCTGTGACAGAAGGGGGGTGGTGACAGAAGAGAGCGTGTCGTGAGGTGTTAAGCTTGTCACTTCAAAGGAACCCACAATTAAATGTTCTCTCCTCCACCCCTCACCGCGGTGACAGGTCTGATGCTTCCAGACTCTCCTGTCCCGGTCCCGGCTCTGTGTTTGCATGTTGCGCACTTCTCAGCAGGCACCCCGGCCCCGAGCCCCCTGGATACATTTGGGTCAAGTGTGGTGGCAGCACGTGGAGGGCTTGGTGATGGCGGAGAGGCACGTGCGTTGGGGGAGGCTTAGCCCCTCCCGCCGCCTCCCGCCCCAGGGCCCAGGGCAGAGCTGAGAGCAGGAGAGAGGAGCGAGGTGGAGGGCAACCTCCGGTCCCACTTCCTGAGGGACAGGGGCGGGCGCGCCACGGACAGATGCTTCTGGGTGTGGAAAGGACGGCAAAGGGGGCACTGCCGAGAGCTTTGGCCAGGAGCTGGGGGCACAGACCGGTGTCCCAGCTGGCAACGGAGGCTGCCCCGGCTGAACCTCGGCTTCCCAGGACCAGGGCCTCCAGGGACACTGCACGAAGAGGACAGCTGAGGTTCTGGGGCCCGGGAGTGGGTGCTGCCGCCCCTCAGGTGTGGGCGGGCGTCCTAGGAGGGGTGTGGTGGTGGGGGGACACAGGACGGGGACCCGGGACGGAACCCTTCTTCCCAACCCCCCGCCCAGGCTACACCCCTACGGTCACACGCATGCGTTAGATTGCTTTTAATTACCGACTGCGAGGGGGGGTGCTATGTGATGGCGGTGCCCCCACCAGCAGAACCCCCCGGCTGCCCCGGGTCCTCCCAGGGACGGGACCCCGGCAAGCGAGCAGGTGACGCCTGGCCCCCGAGGCGGACATCGTGTCCCCGCCGGGCTCTGGGCCGGCGAGCCCGCGGTCAGCAGTGAGCAAAGTGGGCCTCGGCCACATCCCGCAGGTCGAGGCCGGCGATGGCTGCGGGGCCGGTGCAGGTGATGTTGTTGTAGGCGTACGCGGGCGGCTGGCCGTCGTCGCCGTCCGGTGCTGCCCGCACGAAGCGGGGGACCACGTCGGGCTGCTGCAGGGCCAGGGCCCTGAGGGCCCGGAGGGGGCAGCCGCAGTCCCAGGGGTTGCCCTCAAGCCACAGGCGCTCCAGGCCGGGGGCCCGCGGCACGAAGGTCCGCAGGGAGTTGTTCCTGAGGTTCAGGTAGCGCAGCTGCCCCAGTGGGGCCAGCACGTCCTCGGGCAGGGCCTCCAGGCGGTTGTGCGACACATCCAGCCAGAAGACGCGCCGCAGGGGCCTCAGGGCGTCCACGGACAGCGCCGCCAGCCGGTTGCCGGCGAGGAGCAGGTACTCCAGCTTGCCGAGCCCCTGGAAGAGCTGGCCGGGCAGGTGTGCGAGCCGGTTGGCGGTGAGGTCCAGCTCCAGGAGCTCCGCGAGCCCCTGCAGGCCCTGGTCCTCCACGGCCACGATGCCGTTGTCCCGGAGGAAGAGCCGGCGCAGCCCCGAGAGGCCGGCGAAGGCGTGCGGGCGGATGCGGCCCAGGCAGCTGCGCTCCAGGTGCAGGCTGTGCAGCCGGCCCAGGCCCTGGAACGCCCGCTCCGGGAGCGCCCGCAGGCAGTTCCCGGACAGGTTCATGACCGCCACGCTCAGGAGGCCGAGGAAGGCGCCCGCCTCGATCTCCTGGATCTGGTTGTCGTTGAGCGTGAGCACCTCCAGCTGGCCCAGGCCCTCGAAGGCCTGGCCGGGCAGCTGCCGGATGCGGTTGTGGTCCAGCCGCAGCTCCTCCAGGAAGTGCAGGTCCTTGAAGGTGCGGGGCCGCAAGCCTGCGATGGCATTGTGCGAGAGGCGCAGGACGTGCAGGCCCAGCAGGCCGGGGAAGGTGTCCTCCAGGAGGCCGCCCAGCCGGTTGTGCGAAAGGTCCAGCCAGCGCAGCGCCCTCAGGCCCAGGAAGGCGCCGGGGGCCACGGCGGCGATGAGGTTGTGGTCTAGGTAGAGCTTCTGGAGCTTGGGCAGTTTGACGAAGACGTTGGCCTTGACGCTGCGCAGGGCGTTCCTACTCAGGTCCAACTCCCGCAGCTCGCCGAGGCCACAGAAGAGTGCGGGCTGCAGGTAGGCCAGCTTGTTGCCCGCCAGCACCAGCTCGCGGAGGCCGGCCAGGCCCTGGAAGGCGGCGTCCGGGAGCACGGCCAGGCTGTTCCAGCCGAGGTTGAGGTCCCAGAGGCCGGACAGCCCGCGGAAGAGGCCCTCGTCCACCCTGCCCAGCAGGTTGTTGCTGAGGCCGAGCGAGGCGAGGCCCGGGGTGTGCAGGAACGTGTGGGCCGCCAGCCCCCGCAGCTGGTTCCGCTCCAGGTGCAGGTGGTGGAGATTGTGCAGGCCGAGCAGTGCCTGCGGCTCCAGGCTGGCCAGCCCGCTGCCCTGTAGGTTGAGGAAGCCCAGACCGGAGAGGTTCTGGAAGGCCGCCGCGGGGATGGAGGAGAAGTTGTTGCCGTCCAGCCACAGGGCCCTGGCGCCGTCCGGGATGCCGTCGGGCAGCCGCGTGAGGTTCCTGGAGCTGCAGAAGACGCTGAGCTCGTCCGAATAGTCCTCGTGGCCGCAGGTGCAGACGGCTGGGCATTGCGGGCTCTCAGCCTTCCCCAGAGCCCCGGGCTCCGCTCCCTCCAGGCCGCAGGGGCCCAGCGCTGCCCAGGAGACCAGGAGCACGGCCAGGGCCGGGCCTCCTGCAAGGAGAGGAGCCGGAGGACGTGAGTCCCGGGGCGAGCGAGACCCGGGACGTTCCAGGCCTCGGCCTGCGCCCGCAGCCCGGTATGGAACTCGGCACCGAGACCACAGCACGTGACCGTAAAGACAGGCGCTGCCAGTCAGGCGGCAGAAAGGTGGGAGCCGAGTCGTACTCACCCCGCCGGGACTAGAAGCGGAGCCAGACAGGACAGCTGTCGTCCGGCTCCAGACCAACTGTCCTCTCCGCCCGGCAGGGCAGCGATGCCCCTTCCCAGAGGAAACCTGCCCGTAGAGCTGGGCGGCCGTCTGCGTCCCGAACACAGGCACCGGCCAGGCTGCCAGGTGGGCCCAGGGGGAATGCGGGAGGGCTTTCTGGCACAGGCCCGGGTCACGTGTGCTCGCTGCCCTCGAGCGCCGGCCGTTGCCCCCAGATTGGAGGGCCCTCACACGGGTGCTCCCTGGCATATGCAGCCCGCTGCCGGCGTGGGGACAGAAGCAGGGTGGACAGAACGCCATCCCCTCACCAGGGGCCAGGGGTGTGTTAGGACAAAGGGCGCTGGACCTCACAGCAGCGCCACCCCAAAACCTGCATTGAACGCTGGGCTACCCACAGAACTGGGCCTGTCCCAGCCCTTGGAAGGGCTCAGGGACTCAGTGTGAGGTCAGAGCATGCCCCATCCCCTGTGGACGGGACCAGGCCCCACAGGGCTGGAAGGGCAGCAGTCCCCAGGGGAGGGTCTCTGGGGGTGGAGAGGGGACTCCCACCCTTCTCCTGTACCACCGTCCTGGGCCCTGGGACCAGAGTGGAGGTGGACAGAGGGACCTGAGGCATTCTGGGACCCCAGCAGGGACACTTCCCCCATCGGCCCACCCAGGAAGGCCCGCCCCTGACTGGGCGGCTGCCCCCAGAACGAGGGGCCGGGGCACTTGGGGGCGCCTCACCTCTCTTCAGGGCCATCCCGCGTGCAGACGACAGGCGGGCAGTGAGCAGGGGTGCGTCTGCTGGGGCCGGCTGCTCCTGCCCTCTGACTTCCCCACTGCTGGGGCAGCCAGCACCCTGCCGCAGGCCAGCCCAGCCCTGCTGACCCGGGTTCCATTAACCCCCTCATGCCCGGCTGCCAGCATCGGCCCTGAGTGCCCAGAGTGCAGATAGCACAGGGGAGAGTCGGGGGGTGCCGCGTTCACCCCGAAGCCACCTTTGGGGATCGAGGTGGGCGGTGGTGCAGCTCTGGGGGACGGGCGTGTCCCCCCACCTTCGCCCTGCAGGGCTGAGCGGAGCAGAGCTGGGGCAGCAGGCGTGTGGGGGCAGGGGTCTCCCCTGCAGCAGCCTGCGGTTGGGACAGCTTTGGGGAAGCCGAGAGAGGAGGCCCCGCTGCTTGGCCAGCCCCCGGAGCCCAGGTGGGGGCCCCTCGGGCCGCTGTGGGGGACCTCCCCGCTCAGCAGATGGCCACGTGGGAGTTAAGTAGGAGCTGGGTCTGGCATGCTGGCCACACCTTCCCTCCCCCTGCCCGTTTCCTAACAGCCTGGGTGGGGTCCTCATTAGGACTCCCCGGGGCTTCTGCGACCTCAGGGTCAGCTGGTGTCTGGCCGCTCCTCCTCCCCCAGCCTCTTCTAGGAACAGCAGCCGGGCTCCCGGCCACCTCGTGTTTGCTTTCCTAGCAGTGCCCTCCCGGGAAGAGCGGAGGGAGGCCCAGCCTTGGGGGCCAGGTCTTGCGCCGCAAGACCAGCCTCCACCTGCTTTGGGACTCCTGATGTCCCCAGAGCTGTGGGGGCG